GATAGATGTGTATACAGTTATGTAAGCTGTAGATAAAATTAACAGAGAGTGGTTTTTCTCTCTATCTCAGAACACTAGAAGCTGGGGACAGCCAATGCAAGCTTAATGTTGGAAGACGAAAGGAAGTACCATATTTTTTGCTCTATAAGACTCACTTTTTCCCTCCTAAAAAGTAAGGGGAAATGTGTGTGCGTCTTATGGAGCGAATGCAGGCTGCACAGCTATCCCAGAAGCCAGAACAGCAAGAGGGATTGCTGCTTTCACTGCGCAGCGATCCCTCTTGCTGTTCTGGCTTCTGAGATTCAGAATATTTTTTTTCTTGTTTTCCTCCTCCAAAAACTAGGTGCGTCTTGTGGCCTGGTGCGTCTTATAGAGCGAAAAATACGGTACTTCACACCGTGCACTGTTAAACTATGGAATTCAATACCACAAAATGTGATCACGACGACTAAATGGGGTGGCCTTAAAATAAAATTAGGCAGATTTGTGTTTCTCAGTGCAAGATGTCCATTACGGCAACCAAAACCATTTCTGTCGCAAAATTCTGCATAAAACCAGACTGAAAGGGATCTAGACAACGAGCTCCCATCCAGGTAAATTTGAAGCTGGGTAAACACAATACACAACTACCAAGCCTAAGACTCCAGTACTCAAGACTAGACAATTTCCCAGTCTGTTTGAGTAAAATGATAGCTTCATCAAAGGGCACATCACTGCCTTCTTGAGAACAGAAGGCATGGAACCTTCTCTCAAGGTTGCCCAGACAGATAATCTCAGCCTTCCTGTCTTTGTCAGCCAGGAAAGGGAAAGGATCAAGCATATTTCTCAAAGAATTTCGTCCATTTCCTCTAGTCAAACAAATAAAAATAGGCACAGAAACCTGATAAAGACTGTGTTAAAGACACATTCAGCACACTCCACACACAACTGCAGTTCAAGTCTGAACAGATGTAAAAAAATTTATTCACAAAGTGCTTTGCAATCTCAACATAGACTCTGATGGCTCCTCCAACTTCCCCAGCACGCCAAGTTGTAAAAGGCCCCTCGCCATTTGAAAAATCAATACAATTAGTAAGACAGTGCTAGGTGCAATCCAAATAACTATTTAAAATCCACAACTTTAAAGCATTTTAATGTCACATATGTAAAATGGTATTTCCCCTAACATCAAAACACCGTACAACAACTTTTGAACATTGTATAGAAGTGTTCTGAACCACAGCTAAGAAGCCCAACATTTGAAAGACCTGTATTTAAACAAAATAAGGAATACAAAACCTCCTATGAGTCTTCTGTGATCCCAACCTACCCACTGCATTTTGAGCAGACATTATAAATTTGGCTGCATCTCATATTGTGAATTACCAGAAGTAAAGTTGTCTTCCCCATGTTGCATTTGAAAGGCTTTACAGCAATACATGATATCCATCATGCAAACTCCAATGTTCTATTGAGCACACATACTAGCTAGCACTATCTTGATTTATAAAGTGTTCGTGATAAAACTTACCATTCTAACTACTTCAGGGTAAGTCTGCTCTGTCAAACAGCCTCTGCTTATTGTAATGTAATCCACAAGTTCATTAAGAGTTGAGCGCTTGTATTCTTTCATTTTAAGATCAGAAAGTGTGTCCATGAAGTCAAAAATGACACAGCACTGCTGAAGTTTCTTTAGGAACAACTCAGGTTGCTCTGAAGTTGGAACGTCTGGAAAGGAAAAAAGGAAAGCCTGTGTTAGTCTTAACATTCCTGCATAAAACAAATCACGCTTCAAAAGGACAACAAAAGCAGCAATAGCCATTGAACATCTGTAAAAAAGGAAACCATACGAACAATTATGCTTTTCAGAGACTGGTATGTTGGATACTAAATCATCAACTAGTAATATATCCATGGTTTCATAAATAAGCCCAAACAGGCAAAAGGCAATCTGGCAGCCTTAGTCCTTCAATAGAACCAAGTTCTTTAATTTCCATCTAGCACCAGTAGAATATCACAAACAGCTCAAATAATAAAATAGCACTTTTTATTTATTCACAGGCATATTAAGACTGGGACCAAGAAACTGGCTCAAATTTTATTACAACAGTTGTCACTTGTATTTTCAACTAATAACATTATAATCTCTCCAAAAACTGCACAGAAATCTGGGAATGGGGAGTTGGGCAAGTTTAGCTTTCATTTAAAAAAATATTGCATATATTTGAGTTTATTCTGGATGAGAAAAGGCTAAAAAAACCCAACATTTTACTTTCCTAGTAGCATATCAGATGCACAAGTAAATCTTTTAAAAGCGTAATACTACAACACTCAATGCTCTCCTCACCATACATGTGTAAGTGTTTAACAGGTTGTAGTTGTTGTTATTATTACTACTACTGCTATATTTATACCCTGCCCATCTGGCTGGGTTTCCCCAGCCACTCTGGGCGGCTCCCAACAGAATATTAAAAACCTTATAAAACATCAAACTTTAAAAACTTCCCTAAACAGGGCTGCCTTCAAGTGTCTTCTAAAAGTTGTGTAGCTCTTTATCTACTTGATATCTGATGGGAGGGTGTTCCACAGGGAAGGTGCCACTGCTGAGAAGGCCCTCTGCCTGGTTCCCTGTAACTTCACTTGAGGGAACCACCAGAAGACACTCGGAAGAGGACCTCAGTATAAGTAATATGTATAATTTATAATGCTTTAAACCATATACAGGTGTGTCGTCCCATCCCCCCCGCACATGATCAATTTGTGCATGTCTGCATATATGTGCGGCACTGGGAAATAAATAGATTTAAACCAGGAAATGGCAGGAGAGAGCTGGAGAGTCCTTGTGGCTCGTGAGGAGACCCCTCCCAGAACCCAAAGAGGACTTCATTGAGGGTGAAGGAAGCCCCAAAGAGATTGGGGGTGCAGCAGGGCTCTGTTTAGGCTGCTCAGCCTCCCCGCCTGGCAGCTGACACACACAGCAGCGCAGCAGCCACTTTCCTGCACGTCCCCCAGCCACCCCAGAAAGGGGGGAGAGAGCTGGAGAGCAGGAAAATACAAGTGTTTAGAGGCTTTTTAGAGGGTGCTCTCGACTTAGGCGATTTTTGCTTATGCGCACAGGAGCCCGGAACGTAACCTGTGCATAAGCGGGGGGTGGACCTCTATACACAAGCCTTTTGGATTTATTGCTTCATACTGAATCAATCTTTGACTCAAAATATTGTATGAAGGTAACCATGAATGTGGCAAGTCATCATAAATCTCCTCAGAACAGTTGACGGTTTCCATTTTATTCACAGTGGCAAGTTAGTTACGCTGTTACACATTTTCAAAGGAAATGCATAAAATGTAGATTAATCTCAAGTACCCAGGGGGCTAATAATAATGGGCGAGTCACAAGAACAAACACTGAGCTTTATTTGAAGAGCAGACACCAAGCAAAGGAAAAGGATTTTTCCTCTACCCTGCAGTTTGATTAGGAGCAGCAGCTTTATTCACAATGTTTAAACAGCATCGCAAAACAAGGGGGGAAAACCCCAAAATTGTATTTTAAAGCAATGCTTCAACGGGTACACATTTTGCAGTCTTAAACAAGGCTGTTTATCTTCAGACTCTCACCCAATACATGCAAAATAATTTTCGCTTTCTAGCAGGAAGTTCTGGATTCCAAATTTTAGTTGGAAACAAAATAAAAATATATAGGAGTTTTGTGGCATAGTATATTTTTTCCATTCAACACCATGTATCTAATAATAGCCAAACCAAAACTTGAATGTCTGCTCCAAGCCTTGGCTTTGCATGCTCCTTCCTCCCCTTGCATGCTCCAATTTCTTCCCTGACTGGACACAGGCAGCACACCCACTCCAGACTGACCCACACTGATTGGTAGGCTTACATTTATGTCAGACTCCACAATTCACATGCTGCAAGATAGGAAACTATCACTGTCTCTGCTTCTCTACAGACACTGTCACTAAATAGGTTTACACTGTGAGTGCAAGAGTTGTGCTTTCCTGCATTAGGAGTTATTCCAGTGCCTAATTCAATGTGTTGCTGCTTTAAGTGCTTTGTGTCTGAGTCACAAACAGAAGAGAAAGAACATATAAAAACAACTGTAGAGCAGTTCTAAGTAGATTTTTAACTTAAGATGGTAAGCAAAAGAAACCAAGAAGGGGTGGATGGGGACAGAAAAGCTAGGCAGGATGAAAAGCCCACATCTGAAATTTAACAATTTATAGAGTGGAACGTGTTGATTTAAAGCAGAGTCTGGCGTGCCCAGCGGAAGGATGAGGATTACGTGCTACATACTCTATATAGCTTTATTTACAGTTCAAAGCTGGTACATTACAGAAAGACATCTTGCCTCTGCCGGAGCAGAGAAATGCATCCTCTCTCCTCAACAGCTTGGAGAGAATCACACAGTGAAAAACAGGAAACCAGTGTACGTCACATCCAGTCTCCCTTTCCCGTGAGAAACTCCAACAGTACAGACTGTGGAATGTAAACACCTGTCTCGTGACAAGCAGAGCTGCACAGTGAAGGAAAGCAGAAACCAACATCCTCCCCTTTCTGTGAACATCACTGGGCAGCGTGTTTGTACAATATCAGTACAAACCCAACTTCTGCACATAGGTACAGTGTTGATCCCTTGATACAATCTTGGACAATACATCAGCAGGAATTTCATTACCTGGCATATAGGACACCGTTACGAGTCCCTTCTGAATACATTCCCTAGCATGCTGCAACTTTAATTGTAAGTGCTTTGTGCTTTGCTTACAACCTTCAGACTTCAGCAAAGCCAAACATGCTTTGTTGTCCTGGTAAACCTGGATTGGACATTTGACAGGAATTTTCATATCTTTGCACAATTGTACTAACCATTCACAATCCTTAAGTGAATAAGACAGTGCATTCAGTTCAGCTTCACAAGTACTTAAGCTAACTGTTGTTTGCTTCTTGCATGACCAATCAAACAGACCCTGATTGTACATGTAGCAAACTCCAGACGTACTTTTCCTGTCTGTAGTGTCACTTCCAAAACTTGCATCTGCAAATATCTCAAGACCACCAGACTTCTGATTGTTAAATCTCAGTCTGTAATGCATAGTGCCTTTCAAATACCGCGCTATGCGTTTCAGAGCTTTCCAATCCTTGACACTAGGATTGTTGACTTGTCTGCTTAGCAAATTACAGCTAACAGCAATGTCTGGTCTTGAACATCTGGCAATGAAGTTTAGCTTGCCTAGCACACTCCTGTACAGTGTAGTGTCAGAAAATGCTTCTTCAGTGTCATCTACCTGATAACCTGTTGTCATCGGTGTGTCTACAGGGTTAGCATCCATCAGATTTAGTTTGCTTAACACATCAGCAATTTTCCGTGACTGGTGTACTAGAATGTTACCATTTTGATCTCTCTCTATTTCCAGAGATAGGTAGTTGTTTACCTCACCAAGATCTTTCATGTCAAAGTGCTCTTTCAGTTGAGCTAGGGCGTTATTGTACATTGCGACATCTTTCCAAAAGAATAATAAATCATCAACATAAAACAAACAGTACAGTTTCTTTTGCCCCTCCTCTTTGACAAATACACATGGATCAGCTTTCCCTTGCTGAAAACCTAGAGAAAACAATACTTCAGTGAGTTTTGTGTGCCAACACCGTGCACTTTGTTTGAGACCATAAAGGGATTTCTTCAGAGCACAAACAAATCCCTGTTTTACCTGTACGCCATCAGGTGGAAGCATATAAAGTGATTCATCTAGAGATCCGTACAGAAAAGCTGTATTAATATCATGGTGACTAATGTGTAGATTTTCCTCTGCAGCTAGCTTAAGCATAAGCCTAATGCTTTCATATCTTACTGTGGGTGAATAGGTCTCGTGATAGTCTTCACCTGGTACCTGTGCAAAACCTCTGGCTACCAATCTGGCTTTGTGTCTGACTATCTTGCCATTTTGATCTGTCTTCGCTTTGAAGACCCATTTGCTTCCAAGCAGTTTCATTCCTGGAACTACTGGAACTAGCTCCCATGTTTTGTTCCTTTCTAAGGAATCAAGCTCAGCCTTCATGGCATTTAACCATGGCTCAGCTTCCTTCGAATCCAAACCCTGGATTTCTTGGAAACTTGAAGGTTCAAATACCTTCTTGGAGCTTTTAACAGCTGTTACTGCTATCTTAGCAAACTCATCAGCAAATCTCTTTGGAGGTTTGCCTTTTGTGGCTCTCTGTGACCTACGAATTATCCTTAAGTCTTCAACACTCTCCTCTTCCTTCTTAGGAGAAAACGACCTATTGTGAACAATGGTTCCTCCAATTCTTGATCAGAGCTTTCAGAGGGTCGCATAGAGGCTTTCGCACTCTTGAAATCCTCTGAATCACCCGATTCAGTTTCAGATTCAGACTCAGAACCTTCATCAGTGGGTGTGGGTTGTTGTGGTTGCTTTTGACTATCCTCAGTCTCATCACCGTCATCAGGATAACATTGGAAAATTCCCACATTCTCCCCCCACTTTGCATTGTACTCAACACTTCTCGTGAGCTTAATTGTCTTAGAGTCAGTCATCATTATTCTGTAAGACCCTTTCTGATAACATAGAAAGATACCATGCAATCCACGCTTGTCTAACTTGGAGTTTTGTGGTGAGCGAACCCACATGTCAGAACCAAAAATCTTCATGTGTTTGATGTATGGCTTCTTGCCAAACATCTTCTCATAGAGGTACAACCAA